CGGCAACGTCGTCTTCCACTTGATCTTTCCATCTATTCCTCGTCCGCGCCAACCATCAGCTGGTTCGCTTTTATATGCCTTCTGGGCTGGGGCATCTTCATCCATTCTTACAACATGACCTAGCCAACGTAGTCGCTACAGCTCAATACGTCTAACAATGTCAATATCCGAGAATAGCTGATAGAACTCGACGGCAATATTCACCGTCAACGCAGATCGACTCATAGATCTTTCGGAGAATTTTTCTCTCAAACCCATCCAAGAGCTGCCTCATCTGCTTGATAAGTACCCATGCTTCAGATCTATATAATGCGTCAAATGCGGATAGGTGGAATGTGTCGATGTGTTTTTCCAGGATTTGGCGCAGAGTGAAAATCTGGTCAATGGTGGATTTGCCAGGTCTGAAGCTGCATTGGTATGGTCCAATAATGTCATTGACCATTGGCATCATGTTTTATACAGCAGACGCTGGATAACACTTTATATGCGATGGGGAAGGAGACTATAGTTGGCATATCGCCTTATCTTTTTTGTGCACGGGACACAGGATGCTCGATCATTGGACATGCATTCCCCTAGCCAAATTGTACCAATCAGCTGATGCATGCTCCTTACCAGCATCTGACCACCAGTCTTGTAACCCATCGGCACCCGCTCCTTTTTGATTCTTCAGCCGATTGATTGCTATTCTCTGACTTCATCTTGGCCCGGTGGTATACAATCTATACCGTTATCTATTGGTTCAGGGTTGGTTGGTTCTCTTCACCGCTACTATTTGATACCAGAAGTTTTTCAAAATGTTCCTTCACAATAGCGTGTCTGCGGTTGTGCCTGCACCAAAGCCTTTTTTCGGTTTGGTGTACCCATTAATAGTTAGGACTTCATTCTGACTCCTGTACATCTCGATTTGCTCACGCTCAAGTTTTCTTGTTATTTGTTCTTTTTTTTTATGAAAATACGTTTCTCCTCTCTCCTTTTCTACGATAGTTCTCCATCGCATTCGTGTTACTACTGTCCGCAGGGTTGCCCTCAGCGTTTTTCATATGAGTAGCATTAAGACGCTCCTGATCGTACCACGGGTTTCTTAATGGTGGTCTTTGGTACCCAAGTGTTGCTTTTGCTGCAGTTTGAAGGGACGGGTGCGTACCTTGGCTGCCACAAGGTATGGTTAAGTTGATATTCGCTCCTCTATCAAATTTCCGTGTTACTGGACTATTAACTTCCGTCTATCACAGCATGATCGATTTTATTTCTCGTTGTTGGATCGGGAGAAATCCAAGTGGCCTTGTGTATATGGAGAGATGCTTGAATCTGGCGCTGCTAAATACCAAGCCGCGAAGTCAATCAACCTCATGCCGTTGTCTGATGTTTCTTCATGGAGGCTGAATTTTCCGATGGCCATGAGGTCTCTTCCGATTTTCTTCATTAAAATCTCCTAGCAGAATTTTAATATCATGCCAGGGCTACGGCCAAATGCTCTTCCTTCCGATTTTTGCATTAAAATCTCCTAGCAGAATCTTAATGTCATGGCCAGGGCATCCGCAGCCAAATTCATGTCTCGTTTTATGGCAGCTATAATACAGGGCGTAATCATCTGATTTACTTACGCCAGTCCCTTTCCATCGCATTTCCTGTAAGGCAGTAATATAGGCCTTATACTTCTTGAGTACATCCGCCAAAGTGAAAACTGCGCCTGTTCTGTATAAGGTGCGCACATTCCAAGTGCAGATTCGCAGATCGCGGCCCTTTATACGTTTGCGGGGGTGGTCAACATTAGGTGGGTTTGGTTTACTTTTTTTATTTTTTAATTGTTCATTTGACATATTGTCAGTTTTTTTTACAAATTAATGTATTTATTTTCCATTCCAATAACATCACCCTGGAAGTCCAGGTTCAAATCCCAGCCAAGGCAAACTCAATTTTTTTTCTTTTTTTTATAATTTTGTTTATTGTTATAGTTTTTTTTATATTTATTTTGTACAATAGTTATCTATTTTGTTGTACAAAAATTCTTAATTAATTTTTTTCATCTTTAAATAATAACAATTTTCTTTTAGTATTTCAGTATTTCATTTTGAGGTTATAATTTGATTGTGTAATGTTGTTTTATATAAAAAATTATTCTATAAAAATTTATCAATATTATATAAAAAATATATTTTTGGATTGTTGTTGCGTTTTTTTTTCTTAATTGCTGTTAGTCTATCTTATAATATAATAAAGCATTTTTGTTGGGGTTTCTTAATAATTTTTGTTTAGTTATTAATCGCTGTCTTGTTAATTATTTTTTAATTAAATATTATACAAATAAATTTCTATTATGCAAAATGTTTGTGAAACAGTTTGTTTCAAAATTTTTAATATAATATATTTTTATATACTTTTTTTTTAATTTTTAGCACATATGTGTGTATGTATGCAATGCTACCAGGCATCAACTATTATTTAAAAAAATATCGTAAGCATTTGAAATTATGTCAGCCTCTGCTAGGATAGTAATACTATGCCGAAAATAATCTCTGCATGCCTTGTCCAGCGATATTTTTTTCAGTTTCCATTTTCAATTTCAAATGTGCCGTCTTAATATTCTCTGATCTCTCCATATGCATTTTTCTTGCCATTTTTTTCTCCTTTTTTCTCCTAAATATTCAAACAACGCAGCTTACGTTCCGGTACCCGTGATGTAAATTCAAAACTAGGCGGCCGTCGTATCTCCTCATGTGAATCACGACGGATACGATCACGATTTCTACCCATAACCGACCACAGGGGGATGTTGCGTTTACGCAGCTCACCAAGGACCAGCGATTCCAATTGAAATAAATGCTCATCCCATATTTCGGGAATTTCCTCATGCATAAATGTTGCAAGCCTTAGCAGATATTCGGCATTATGGCCACTGGGTCCTTCACATTCGACAATTTGTTTGGCAACATTTTCCAGTCGATCTTCACCTAGCCAATGTTCACTGTCCTTATTGGCGACATAGACTAGAACGGGCAGAGCTTCACCACCAAAGGCAGCATCATAGGATGCAACGCGGGGATAGAATTTTGTATCGACTGTTGTATAACCACCTGGAAGAAGAGGAAGAAAAATTATATAATAAATAAAATGTCATGAATTCAAGCTTAAAAAATATTTTTTTTTTAAAATCCACGCCTTAAAAAATATTTTTTTTAAATCCACGCCTTAAAAATATTTTTTTTAAATCCACGCCTTAAAAAATATTTTTTTTAAATCCACGCCTTAAAAATATTTTTTTTTAAATCCACGCCTTAAAAAATATCTTTAGAAAAAACCCACGCCTTAAAAAATATATTTTTTTTAAAAATCCACGCCTTAAAAATATCTTTTGAAAAAAACCGCGCCTTAAAAAATATCTTTTGAAAAAACCCACGCCTTAAAAATATCTTTTGAAAAAAACCGCGCATTAAAAAATATTTTTTTTAATCCACGCATTAAAAAATATTTTTTTTAATCCACGCATTAAAAAATATTTTTTTTAATCCACGCCTTAAAAATATTCTTTTAAAGAAACCGCGCCTTAAAAAATATTCTTTTAAAAAATCCACGCCTTAAAAAATATTCTTTTAAAAAATCCACGCCTTAAAAATATTTTTTTAAATCCACTACTTGAAAACAATTTTTTTTTTTAATCCACTACGTGAAAACTATTTTTTTAAATCCACGTCTTGAAAAAATATTTTTTTAAAAAATCCACGCTTTGAAAAAATATATTTTTTTTAATCCATGCCTTCAAAAAAATATTTTTTAACAATCCATGCCTTGAAAAAATATATTTTTTTTAAATCCACGCCTTCAAAAAATATTTTTTTAATCCATGCCTTCAAAAAAGAAAAATATTTTTTAACAATCCACGCATTGAAAAAGTATTTTTAAAAAAATTTACAACTTAAAAAATTATTTTTAAAAAGATCCACAACTTAAAAAAATTATTTTTAAAACAATCCACAACTTAAAAAATTATTTTTAAAAAAATCCACAACTTAAAAAATTATTTTTAAAAAAACCACAACTTAGAAACCATTTTTAAAAAATCCACGCCTTAAAAAATCTTTTTAAAAAATCCACGCCTTGAAAAAATATTTTTAAAAAAATCCACAACTTAAAAAAATATTTAAAAAAAATTCACAACTTAAAATTTTTTTTTAAAAAAACCTTGAAAAAATATTTTTTAACAATCCACGCCTTGAAAAATTATTTTTAAAAAAATCCACAACTTAAAAAAATATTTAAAAAAAAATCACAACTTAATTTTTTTTTTAAAAAAACCTTGAAAAAATATTTTTAAAAAATCCACGCCTAGAAAAAATATTTTTAAAAAATCCACGCCTAGAAAAAATATTTTTAAAAAATCCACGCCTTGAAAAAATATTTTTAAAAAATCCACGCCTTGAAAAAATATTTTTAAAAAATCCACGCCTTGAAAAAATATTTTTAAAAAATCCACGCCTTGAAAAAATATTTTTAAAAAATCCACGCCTTGAAAAAATATTTTTAAAAAATCCACGCCTTGAAAAAATATTTTTAAAAAATCCACGCCTTGAAAAAATATTTTTAAAAAATCCACGCCTTGAAAAAATATTTTTAAAAAATCCACGCCTTGAAAAAATATTTTTAAAAAATCCACGCCTTGAAAAAATATTTTTAAAAAATCCACACCTTGAAAAAATATTTTTAAAAAATCCACGCCTTGAAAAAATATTTTTAAAAAATCCACGCCTTGAAAAAATATTTTTAAAAAATCCACGCCTTGAAAAAAATATTTTTAAAAAATCCACGCCTTGAAAAAATATTTTTAAAATTATTTTAAAAAAATCCACAACTTAAACTTTACCCAGAAGAAAATATTTTTAAAAAATCCACGCCTTGAAAAAATATTTTTTTTAAAAAATCCACTCCTTAAAAAAATATTTAAATATTTTTTAAAATTCACGACTTGGGCTAGTCCTTCAAAAATGTTTTTAAAAAATATTATGTGGCGAGTCTTTACTTACCTAATGTACATTCTCGTTGCTTTAAATAATCCAGGGCCGTTTGTCCACATATTCTATAAGCACAGCCCCATGTGATACCCTGCAAAATAAAAAAAAATTAATAAACATTAAAAAAATATTATTAAAAATAAAAAAATATTAAAAAATTTAATTTCTTTAAAAAAATATATACCAAAAAAAGATTTTAGAATTTCCGCTTTATTTTCTTATGGGCCATGGTGAAAATTTATTTTTAGAAATATTTTTTTTTATTTTCAACCCACCATTGTTAAGTTTTTTTATTACAACGCCTTAAACTATGCTACAGTTTTCATTGCCTCTCACATTTAATGCCCTACCCCACCATCTAGCTCATAATTCTCATATACATTTTTTTAATGCGCTTTGTATATATACTTCCTCGGAGCCACATACGAGTTCTTGGTAACTCTTCGGCGGGAAAGTAAGTACTGTATTGGTCTTCTTTCCAGCGCAGTGCTCTGGGGAAAGTCCCCTGGTCTAGTTTAGAAAGTAGAAAGGCGTAGTAAAAAGCGCCGTCTCGTTATCTCGCGGCGTTTGCCTATATTTCGCGGAAATCCACCGATTCTCAATTAAGAGTTCCTCGCGGAACGAATAATATATAGGGTTTCGGTGTCTGTGAAAATGTGCCAGTAAAGTTGAGTTATTGACAAGTTGTTGTTGTGTGTGTATCGCACACACATGCGATGGCAACACTCAAAGGGGCTTACTTTGAAAAGTTCGGACTCTCAAACCAAAAAAATACCCGCAGTCTTTTTGTATTTTATATAAAATAGTACAATAATAATAATTGTATAAAATAATCTTTAATTTTATGTGAAGCACTTGGTTTTGTTTAAACAAAGAAGTGAAAATAAAATAACCCTTCACATGTTTAATCATTAATAATTTATTTTAAAGACTAGCAGACCTATTTTTGTTAGGAAGGTTTGACACCCAATGATAATCCACAAAATATGAAATTAGGCGAAGTTCGGTTGAAAAGAGGCACCAAAAATCCATAAAATATCGAATATCGGAAGGTAATTTTATATAGGGGCTACCATGAAAAGTGGACCAATCTTAATAATTTTTGGTAGGTAGATTTGCTACGCAAGGAAATTCGAAATATTAAATTACAACCAATTCCGTTGAAAAATTTGTCCTAAATCCCCAAAATATCGAAATACGTAGGCTACCCTTATATGGGGTCTACCTTGAAACTTGCGCCAATCTTAATAATATTTGGTAGGTAGATTTTCTACGCAATGAGAATCCGAAATACCGAATTACAACCATTTCCGTTGAAAAAAGTGCTCAAAATCCCCAAAATAAGTGCTCCAAAATCACGAAATACCGAATCGCGGAGCGTATCCTTACATGGAGCTACCCCCTGAAACTTGCGCCAATCTTAAAATTTTTTGGTAGATAGATTTGCTACGCAATAAGAATCCGAAATACCAAATTACAACGAATTCCGTTAGAAAAAGTGCTCTAAAATCCCGAAATACCGAATCACGGAGGGTACCCTTACATGGGGGCTACCCGCCTGAAACTTGAGCCAATCATAGTAATTTTTGGTAGGTAGGTTTGTTACGCAATGGGAACCCGAAATACCAAATTACAACCAATTCGGTTGAACAAATGCCCTTAATCTCCAAAATACCGATATACGTAGGATATCCCTTATAAGGGGTCTACCTTGAAACTTGCGCCAATCTTAATAATTTTTGTTAGGTAGATTTGCTAACTAATTAGAATCCAAAATATCAAATTACAACAAATTCCGTTGAAAAAATGCTCTAATATCCAAAAAATATCGAATCACGGAGGGTACCCTTACATGGGGGCTACCCTGAAACTTGCGCCAATCTTAATAATTTTTGGTAGGTACATTTGTTACGCAATGAGAACTTAAATTATCAAATTACAAGCAGTTCGCTCAAAAAAAGTGTTCTAAAATCCCGAAATATCGAACCACGGAGGGTACCCTTACATTGTGGCCACCCTGAAACTTGCGTTAATCTTAAACATTTTTGGTAAGTTTATTTGCTATGAAATCAGAACCTAAATCACCAAATAAGCCAGCAATTCGAATGAAAAAATTCTCTAAAAACCTAAAATACCGAATCGCGGAAGGGGCTAACCTTACATGGGTGCTACCACCTGAAACTTGCGCCAATCTTAATAATTTTTGGTAGGTATATTTGCTACGCAATGGGTACCCGAACTACCAAATTACAAGCAATTCGGTTGAAATACGTGGCTAAGATCCTCGAAATATGGGAATTTAGATGGTTCTCCTATAGTAGGTCTAACCTAAAAAAATACCGATATTTACAATTGATTGGTTGGAACATTTTCTTACCAATAAGAACACATAATACGAAATTACAGCCAAGTTTATTTGAAACACACAGCAAAAATATCGAAATTTTGAAGGTACTCTTATAAGAGGTCCCAAAACGGATGGACCGATATACTATACGGATTTCAATAAAACTTTATACGCGTCATTTTAGACTCAATTTGGGACGGTGTGTGCATAATTTAGTTGCAATCGAACAAACTTAGGGTCTTTGGGTGAAACAATTTATCTGAAATCGGACGAAAATATATATGTGGGAGCTATATCTAAATCTGAACCGATTTCAATAAAACTTACCACATGTAATTCTAGGCTTAATTTGGTACCTTGTGCAAAATTTCGTCACAATTAAACAAACTTTGTTAGTTTGTTAGTGCACCATTTACCTGTAATCGGTCGAAAATATATATGTGGGAGCTATATCCAAATTCGAACCGATTTCAATTATTTTAATATACATCATTGTTGGTTCAATTCGTCACCATTTACAAAATTTCGCAGCAATCGAACAGACATGGGGGTTTTTGCTTTGCTAATTACCTGAAATCGGTCGAAAATATATATGGGAGCTATACCTAAATCGGAACCAAATTCAACAAAACTTAATCCACTTCATGGTATGTTCAATTCGCTACGCTATGCTAAATTTCGTCGCAATCAAACAAACTTAGGGTATTTGGTGTACCATTTAGATGATATCGGACGAAAATATATATGGGAGCTATCGCCAAGAATTCAGAACCGATTTCAATTAAATGTAATACACCTCATTCTAAGCTCAATTTGATAGCCTGTACAAAATTTCATCGCAATCGGTTAAGCGATGACCATTTGGTGCACAATTTACAGGAAATCGGATGAAAATATATATATATATGGGAGCTATATCTAAATCTGAACCGATTCGGACAAAACTCAATACTCTTCATTCTGGGCTCACTATGGGACGTTGTGCAAAATTTCTCCTCAATCGAATAAATCTTGGGGATTTTGCATTAAAGGTAACCCTGAGAATACAGGGTGAAATTATAAAAACTGCAACCAACTTCAGACTGCAAAATGAGGTTCCTCGCTTCATTTCCAGTGCACAATGGCCACCAAAGTCTCCGGATACCAATCCGTTGGACTATTGTGTCTGAAGTATTTTGGAAAGCAAGGTTGGCAGTAAAAAATACCAAATTGTCGATCACTTCAAGCATGCGCTTCGCCGGGAATGGGTCAAAATACCGCAGAACAACATTCGGGCAACGTGTGACGGTTTCATTGGCCGTTTTGAAGGCCATATTTTGTACCAATTCGAACAAATCTAAAATTATTCTAATATTTGATGCTATTTCCGACATATTTTGCTTTCATTCAATAAAATTAAAGAAAAAAATGTAAAAATTGTGGCGTTTGACTTGGTTGCATTTTTTTTATCTCATCCTGTATATTAAGAATAATTAAAAAATGATATAAAAAAAATCCAGGTCATGATGCCTAACCGGAAAACATCTTCTGTAATTACACTTCCCCAAACAATGTAAAGACCTTCAAAAATATAAATATAAACGAACAGAGTTGAATTGAATTGCAAGTT